CGGCCGGAGGGTGCCCGCCCTGCTCGCCCCGCTGGTGGCCGCGGCCGCGCGGGCGCTCGGGGACACGCAGCCCGCGATGCGCCGGGACAGCGCCCGGCTGCTGCTGCGCCTCATGGGCGCCGCGGGGCCGCGGGCCGTGCTGCGGCTGCTGCTGCAGGAGCGGCTGCTGCGCCACCGCAGCGCCCGGCTCCGCGAGGAGCTGCTCAACACGTGCACGGCCGCGCTGCTCACCTACCCCGGCGAGCAGCTGGACCTGCCGCAGCTGGCGGCCGCGCTGGCGCCCGCGCTGCTGGACGCGAAGCGCAGGGTCCGGCACGCCGCGCTGGAGGCGCTGGCGGCGCTGGCCGCGGCCATGGGCGCCGGCGGGACACAGGCGCTCTTCGGCGCCGTGGGCGCCCTGGAGCTGCGGGCGGGCGGCGCGGGGGCCGTGCGGGCCGTGCGGGCGCGGCTGGCCAGGAAGGCGCTGCCCAGGCTGGGCGAGCAGGGATTCGTGGAGTACGGGCTGCCCCTGCCCTCCGCCGGGCACTGCCGCGGGCGCTGCCACCCCCCCGGCGCCGACACCGAGTGGCTGCTGATGGGCAGCAGGACGCAGAGCGCTCGCTGCGGGTGCCCCGGCGGGGAAGATGCGCCGCACGGCCCCGGCTCCAAGTGTGCCGAGCAAGGGATGAGCCCCAGGAGAGTCCTGAGCGCCGGGAGAGGGAAGAACAAGCTGCCGTGGGAATCCGAGCTGGCTGGAGACAGGGAAGGTGGCTCGGGAGTCAGGATGCCGTTCCCGAAGGGTGTGGAGCAGGTACGTAACTCCCTGGCGTCCTTCATCCTAAGGCATTTCCAAGGGGAGGTTGGAAAGTTGTCAGAGGCTTGTTAAATGGCAGCTATTTGGGAGGGATGGCCGGTGTTTTATGTGCAAGGATTTGTACCCTCGCATCGGTCTGGGAGGGCAAGTTTGGGAATTCCTTGTGTCAGATTTAACCAAACAACTTATCACTTAATAAACATAATTTTTGATGTTACTGGGCTCCCCGAGGCACTTCTTAGGCCTGACCATAATGACATGTGCCTGGCACGTCAGCAGTGACAGGTGAACCCCAGGGAATGAGCACAAGAGTGGGGAAAACGCAGCCTTTGTTTGTATATTTGTGTTTGAGAGCACCTGCCTGACTGCTGAGAGTGTCCTGAAGCTGTCTGGGGGAGAACTGACCCATTCCTTCAGCTCAGGCTCTGAAGGCAGAGCTCTGGAGTGGGGCTGAGCCAGGACTCTTTGACTGCCCTGGGATAAACCTGGAGGCTGCCAAGTGCCTGGGTGGCTCTTGCTGCTCAGGCTGATCTCACTAGGAAAAATGTAGGTCAGGCTGGAACAGAAATTCTGACTGAGTTTTGATTTTATCACTTACCCAGTCAGCAGCTGGAAAGGGAAGGAATCTCTGGAATATTGTCCAGGTCGTTTTGCCTTTGGCAGTGGTGCTGTGACACATGTTTTGGATACAACTCTCACGTGTGGTATCGGTGTGTGGTGGGTTTTCTGTGCTGTTTGGGGTTTTTATAAGTGGACATGTTTGATTTATCATGTCTCAATCTCCTGTGATTGAGCTGAAGCAAAGAGATCCCAGAACATCAAAGGCTGTGCAGAGGAGATTCCTCCTGCCACGTTTACGTAGTGAGAATTTAATTCCCAGTTGCTTGGTAACTTGTTGCTGTGCTGGATGAGGTCATGGACAGTGAGTGCTCCTCTGCAGCCAGGCTGTTGGGAAACTCGGAGCATAAATAAATGTGAGTTCATGTTTCTGTACTGTCAAACCCCAAAGTTCATGTCTAGGCCTGAATGCAGACGTGCTCCCTTCCCTGGTGTCTGTGTTACCTTTAACCCAGGCCCCTAAAGAGATCTGTGTCTTTTGGAGTTGATGAATCAGGCAGCTGAGTTCCTTTGGGATACCTACAAACAGGCTCTGGACACCAAGATATGTAGGAAACACCTCCAGAGCAAGAAGGGTTTTCTTTTTGAAGCAGTTTTGCAGTATTAACTAAGACAGCTTGTAGAAATATCAGTTGCCAGTGCTCTCCAGGCAGGTTGGGCTGAGCCCTGTGCTGCTGCTCTGTGTGGTTTTCTGAACACAGAGCAAGTTAATACAGGCACCAAAGCCTGGCTGGAGCTTGGAATGGGGGAAGGTGCTCTGGAGATGGTCCTTTTCTAAAAGGAATTAATCTTTTGTGCACGTGGTTGTGTTTATCCCTGTAAAGTGGGAGGAGTGCCCGAGGTTTCCAACCCTGCAGAGAGGGAGAGAAAGCAGTTCACTTATGGATTCTGTTTTGTTGATATGCAAAGTGCATTTAGAGATGGTGTCAACCATAGAATCATGGAATGTTTGGGTTGGAAGGGATCTTAAAGATTACATTTCAAACCCCTGCCATGGGCAGGGACACCTTCCACCAGCCCAGGTTGCTCCAACCTGGCCTTGGACACTTGCAGGGATCCAGGGGCAGCCACAGCTTCTCTGGGCAACCTGGGCCAGGGCCTCCCCACCCTCCCAGCCAGCAATTGCTTCCCAAGAATTTCCTGTCCTTGGGACAGCCCTTCTGAACTGAGATTGCCATGAGCTGTATAAATAAAGCTCCTGTGCTGGGGGCATCCAGAAATCAGTGTGTGTGTGGGAAGGGAGCCCTGGATCTCCCCTTAACTCCCTCCAGTGAGGTAAATTCATTTATCATGCATGGAATTCTGGTACTTGACTTGACATTTAAAATATTAATTATTAATTCAGACATTCCTTTTGAAATGAATTTGCTTAAAAATTAACTTCTGGAGTCATTCTGTGGCTGAAGGGGTGCATGGAAGAAGCTTAATGTTTAAAGCAGTTTTCCTGCCAGGATTTTTAGGGTCATGTTACACAGTGGCTGTCCAAGGCCATGTCTAGACTTTCCTGATCAGATAAGATGTGAAGTAAAACATGTGTAAGTTAATGTGTACTAAAAATAAAAGGTAGATAAAGCACAGTGACTCCAAGGGCTTGGCAGCTTCTCCGGAGAGTTGTGGATTCTCCATCCCTGGAAGTGTCCAAGGCCAGGTTGGACAGGGCTTGGATCAGCCTGGGATAGAGGAGGTGTCCCTGCCCATGGCAGGGGGAGGGATGAGATGGGCTTTAAGGTCCTTTCAACCCAAAGCATTCCATGATTCTGTCAGTGCTGGTTAATTGGGTTCTTGATGAAACATTTCTCAAGTAGTTGAACTCAACCTGCTGTGACCAAACCTCCTGGTTCTCCAGTGTTTTCCCAGCCTTGCCATCCATGAGGGGTCACACTAGTGAGTCCAGGAATGCTGCAAGCAATCCCAAATTCCCTTTTGAACTCTCATCTTCTCTGACTCTGTAACGTGAAGGACAAGGTGGTTACCCCAGAATGAGCTAACAGAGTTCTCACTGACCTATTGGTAGCTAAGCCTTCCCGTGTTTTCCTTGGAAATTCAGTGTGCTGTATGGAAGACACCATGCCTAGGGATTATTGTAGGGCAAGAGTTACCCCCTGTGAAACACAGAGCCTGCATCTGCTGTTGGAGGTGCCTTTTGGTACCCAAAGGTTCCCTTTTGGGGGAAACAAGAGCACTTGAACATCTCTCCGATGTTTCCAGCCCTGTTACAAAGTACTTGTGACCTCTGTGATCTCCCATAACTGAGGTGTTGGGCAACACTGTGGAATTCCCCTCATTTCCATCCTGATCCCATAACAGAGAACCTCAGAGCTGGGCTTTGTGGGCACCTCAGTGGGTGTGCAAGTGTGAAATCAGGTTTATGGAACAGCAGCTCTCTGTTTTAGCAAGGATCAGAGGCACACAGAGTCAGTGGGATAAGGCTGCCTGTTCTTGGGAACTTGGGGTGGCACTGGCACGGGAGCTCTGGTGTTTCTAGAGGCTGCAGGAGTATTTTGGGGAGATATCATTCTGTATTTGTGTATTGTAGGTCTTCTCCCTGGGAGCCTGTGGTTGATGCTGCTGGGTGTTGGATCAGGAGAACCTTTTGTCCGGCTGGGTCTGGAACAACTGGGATAGTGGAAGGTGTCCCTGCCCATGGCAGGGGTGGAACTGGGTGATGTTTAAGGTCCATTCCACCCAAACCACCCTGTGATTCCATGATGGGTCATCTCAAGTGCTTTGGTAACCAAGTTAATAATTCCTTTGGTGGATGGATTCCAATATTGCCTGACATTGGTGGTACTGGTGGAATCTTTAGGAACCCTTCTGAGAAATCCCTTTGCTGGAATCTGTCATCTACTGCACTGGAACATCTGGCAGCTTTGGGTTTGCCTTTACTTCCCCCTGCCCTCAAGCCCATGTTTAGCAAATTAGTAATGCTGTAATTATAATTTGTGCACAGGGGAGCAGAGTTTTTATCCCTGTAGCTGGGACTGGAACAGCTGAGTGGAGTTGTACAATAATGGCAGTGTTTTACTTTACTCCTTCTGCATAAATTGCTTTGTCCATGTGGAAAAATGGGGCCTAAGTTTGTCCTGCACCAGCTACTGAGGGGAAAATTAACTCCATCCCAGCTGAAACCAGGCCACAGGAACTCATACAAGTGACATTTAATTGTGGACTGGAAGGTCCATGGATGGGAAATGCTGTTTGCTGATCCCAGGGGCAGGAATGCTGAGGTTTCATCTCTTTTATCCCATCTGGGATAACCCAGAACAAACCCTTCTCCGTTTTCCTGCTGCTCTCTGTCCCCCTGTGTGAAGGGCCCCTGGAGTCCCTCAGGGCCTGCTTGCTGTGGAGGCCCCATCAGTTTTCCCCCACCGTGCTGTGCTTTAAGCACTTGTCCTAAAATACTTCAGTGAGAGTCTAATCCCTGCAGGCTGATTAAGCAGCTTTAGCCCCGGCTCTCAGGGAGGAGATTTCATGGGGGGTTTTGAGCTTTGGGGCATTTTGGTGGCTTTGCTGAGGGTGCCTCGGGCTGGAGACTTGGACGTGAATCCCATTGGAGCCTGGGAAATGCCAACAGGAAATCACAGCGTGGTTTTGGAAGGGAGGATAAAATTTTGGCCATTTTTGTTAACTGCAAACCCCCCCTCCCAGGCTCAGGGAAGGGTTTCCCCCAAGAACCAGTGTCCACATAGCTGTGGACCTTGGAGCTCAGCTCCCTCTGGGAACTGCTTGGCTTTTAAAGCACTGAATGGAAAACCAGGCTTCACTTATTTATTTACTGCCAACAGGTACCTCGTGTGACTTCATTTTCCATTTATAATGGGAACAGCCTCAGGAGAATTAGGAATATGTAATTAAAAAGTTTGAATTATGAGGTTTATTTTTTTCCTCGTTGGCAGGATATGGGGGTGGAATTTCTCTTGGCTTAGGTGTGTATCTTGTGTCTCTTCTTTACTTAGAAAGGACCCAAAGGTTTTGTTGAAACTTCATTATTTAACTACTTATTTAATATTGTCTATATTCCATAACCAATCCTATTTTTCTGTGTGATAGATTAAATATTATAAGGACTTTAAACCAATTAGTGTGTGCTCGTGGTCGTGGTTCTCCTCCCAGGTTTGAAGTTCTGCACTTTCCTTTGTGATATTTTTGTGAAACCCCATTTCAACATTAATTAAACCCTTTAAAGATACTGACCCAGAGCATTTGGCTGCTGTTTGTCTGACCCAGACACGTAACTTGAAGGACAATCTGTGAAGTCACCCCGAGGTTTCTCCTGGAGCAGGGAGGGTTTGGCAGAGCTGGGAGCTGTTCTGGGGGTCTCTCACTGTCCAAAACAACTTGGATTGTGTGGGCCAGGCTGTGGACTGGGGAGATCATGGAATTATGGAGAACTGCACTTTGATATTCCAAGAGTTTCTGTGAAGTTCCCAGTCAGAGGATCCCATTTGTGTGGTGAACTGAGACGTTCAGTGAAATGAAAAATAACTATTTTTATAAATCAATGTATCATGTAGATGTTAGACTACAAATGCCCCATTCACACAGCAGGATGTGAATAAAGGGGTTTTCAGGCTGAACATGGTGCTTTTCTTTCCAATACTGAATAAATATTTCCATTTCTGCTCAGACTTCTCCTTGTGCAGCCTCGTCTGTGAAAGGGGAGAGCGGAGGAAATGCAGCCTGGAGATGATGTAAATCACTGATTTCACTAATTAAATCAGGAACCTTCATTTAAAGCATGATCTTTTCTTTACTGAATACTGCTGTTACTGAGATTTCTCCCTAACCTTTGCCCAGTTCTCAGTACAAGCTGCTGATATCCCCAGCTCCAGCTTTTTGACTAAACCTGAAGTTTGCACAGCTCAAGTAGCTGTTGCATTCTGGGATTTTGTTGTCTATTTAAACCCTTCCACATCTAATGGACATAATTCAAAATGTCAAAATATATGTTAAAAAAAAAACAAACCTAAAAAACAAACCACTCAAAATTTAATTTTTAAGATTTAATTTTTAAGATTTAATTTTTAAGATTTA